ACTAGCTGTCAGTAACTGCGAGTTCTCTGAGATCTGTACTTTGTGTTTTTTTTTATGTAAGGGATTTATAAATACTATAGTACCCTGCCACGTCCGGTATGTGTTTTGTTAGATGTTTTTCTGCTTTGTTTAGACATTTCAACTGATTTTAATAGTTTGTACTTATGTTGTACTGTTGCACCACTGTCCAAGGTTAGGGGAGGGTTGGCGCCTTCAAACATATCTAACCCCGCCGCATTCTTCTTGTGGTTGTCCCAAGTCAGGAGCCTATAGTTCAGCGGTTGTCCTTGGTTTATGTCTGTCATATTTGTTTTTCGTCGATTGTTTTGTTAAAAATTAGGCCGTTAGTTTTCTCAATTGAATTGTTTCATATTTTTCATGTCGGAGCCTTTTATATCCAATTATACGGTATGAGGTTTTCTTATTGTTGAAGGCCGTACGGTTGCCTATAGTTGCTTACATCCACTTCATTTGAACTTTGGTGGATATTTGTCTCATTTGCAACCATACCACATATTTTCATATTGATAGCGAAATTAGGTATTGATAATTTACTGGGAAACTCAGCATTTCCTCTCCCGACGACACTTTTAAAGAGGAAATCATGAACAAATTATAGGTCTATACTATGTACCTTTGGAATTTCAACCAAACATGAAAAACTGGTTCTTCCTTCACAGTACTGTGTACTACAAAATTACATATGTATCATTAAAAACAAAGTTGTTGGGTCTGCCAAGTGCTCCAGGAAATCTCCTTCCAAACTATAAACATCAATTGAATCTGCAATCAAAGTCGGGTTTTAGATTTACTGTGAAACTACTTAATCTGGTGTGAATCAGATGTGGATACTAAATAATCGAAAGATCTGTTTGAGTACATTCAATCTAAGCCTCTTTTCTCTTGCAATATAGTATAAAACATTCGACTTCTCTACAATTTACACAAATATTTAAATGGAAGTAATAAAAGTAACATACATGACAATATGATGTTTCACCTTGTAAGGAAAATATTTGAACTTCGTTGGGTAAGAAAACAAGATAATAAAACATTTGAAGTAGTTTTATTATGATTTTTTAAGACATATATAAATACTGTGGCATTATCTGGACCTTTCAAATTTATAGAGATCTTATCTGGCTGATGTACCTCAATTTGGTGTAAATATGATCATTTGAAATGTTATATTAACATAATTCTATTTATATTGTTCCCGATATGAATATTAATATATGTGATTTTTTTTCTGACAAAAGAATAATGATAATAAAAATTTCAAACATTAAAATAGATAATTTCTCCTAGAAAACCATCATATCGTAGTGATATTTCAAAGTTACCTCCCTTTATCCAGAAGAAATGCAATATTACAGAAAAAGAAAGAGTTACATTTTATATGTAAGCATACCTGTCAACTAACCCGTATTCTGCGGGTGAACCCGTAAATTTAATACACCTCTCATCCGAGATTTTTTGAAAAACCCGCCGGACCGTTAAATAACCCTGGAATTCGGAAAATTAACAGTTTTCACTCGGATTCTTGAGCCTTCAGACTATTTAAGTATGAAATGATAGATTTTATAAGTGATTTTCCTTTGAAATACCGTCAAATTCAGAAAGGAATAGTCCAATGTTTAAATTTTTCGCAAATGTCGTACTATATAAACAATATGGAAAATTGAATAACTTGCATTAAAAAGGTCACTGATTTAACACTGTATACTTGGATCTTTTAATAATGTCTTCATCGGTACAATGAGTGACATTGATTTTGTTTTCATAACTAAATATGTATGGCTTTATACAAAATGATAACACATTTGGTCCTACATACTGTCGATGCTTATGTTTTGCCATTGCACAAGGCCATGTTTCTCTCAAACTATTTTTGACGTGTCACTATTGAAAAACTAAATCCATTTGATGTGTACTGATCGAAGTTTACATCTGGGAAAATGGGCCTATCTGTTGATTGGAAATGGCTTTGAACTAACTTTCAGTAAATGGAAGTACTCTAGGATTGGTACCTTCTGTTTTTTGTCTATGTGTTAGAGTTTTGTATATACTTAGTACCGATCTGACGAGTCAAGCCTTTTCCAACTGAGTTTTACATTTGTTCTCATGTTGTACTGTGTTATCACTGTACCAGGTTATTGGAGGGCTGAACGTTAAGTATTTATAACACAGACTGTGTACTTACGCATCTAAAATGAAAAGCTATTAATTTTCGGTGCACAAGTACGCAGTCTCTGTTATAAATACATTACCTGCGCGTCAACTTTGAAATTTCAGAATTATAAAAGTTCAAATCGCACAGTGCTATAAATATATAAATTCCTTTTGGATGCATAAGAACGCAGTCAGTCAGGACCGTAGCTAACGATGAGGCAGACGAGGCAATTGCCTCGTCTGATTTTCTAGCAAAAAAATGATAATAAGAAAAAAAAAAGAAAATGGAGAAAGCTAGGCATGCAGGGGTAGAAAACATCCTTCCATTTTCATATCAAGGATTAAGTAATGCATACTTCGAATAGTAATTAATGTTGACGTGCAGCTTCTGTACTTTTATTTCAACACGTTAGGTATCGAACTCTCTGCCTGATTACCATCGCCATTCCCCTGTAAACCGGCATTTGGTTCTGCAATTATTTATTTCCCGCTAAAAAGTCTCTTGAACAAGTTCGAACGTCAGAGATTTTGGTTTTCCAGGAGAAGCTACTATTGACATTTCAAGTCGGTTCTTTCTCATGTGAGAGATCTTTTTCTGCCCTTCGGCGTTTTTTAAAGACATGGTGCAGGTCAACAATGACCGAGGACAGATTATGTGAATTAGCCATGCTTCACGTCCATTGTACGGACAAGGATTTGTATAGTGACCCTAATATTGCAATTTTCGGGTAACCTCCCTGTTAACCTGGGGGCCTCACTTGGCGGCCCCCAAACCCCTGCCTCGTCTGTTTTCGATACCTAGTTACGGCCCTGAGTCTGCAGATGTAAATACGTCACCCGCGTCAACTTTTAAATGTTAGAAGTACCTGGGTTCAAATCGAGCAATGCTATTCATTTTGCAATTGGATGCATATATACGCAGTCTCTGTTGTAATTACTTAACCTTCGTTAGAGTTCGTTTTTAATTTGTATTATCATACTGATTCGAAACGAAATATTTATTGATACTTTACTGTTTCCTTTTTTAAATATTGGTGTTGTTTTGTACACTTTATAGGCAGATCTGCAAGTCACGCGCATAGGTATATATACAATGTACTCTCCAACTTTACTATACGTCTATAAAACATAAACCCATTATTAAAAGAGGTAGATAAACTTAAAGAAAACAATGCACACAGAAGTAATATACACCGGTATACAGAAACTTCTTAGTGTTTGTCTTTTGTCATATCTAAATAATTTCTTTATATTTGGAGAGTTTGGTGTTTATGGTACATCTTTGATAGTCTCTGTTAAATCCGTCCAATTTATTTTACGCCGACAGATTTAGAGCTTGACATATTGTACAGCTGTCTATTGTTGAAGACTTATGTGTTGACTTCTAGATGACTTTTGGTTGCTGACTCATTGATGTGTACCCCATTTCTTTCTTACATTGAAACTTTATATATCGACTGCTTTTCTATGAACGAACTAAATATATTATAATTCGTACATAATTGATAACAAGTATTACGGTTTCGGTTTTCTCTTAATTAAAAATAATGCATTATTTTCTGAAGATATCCAAATTCCACATTTTCATCTTTCCCCAAATGTTAACGAATATTTTAGGCGATTAGGTACTTTCGAAAACTAGAGTTTCGACGAAAATTTATCTTGCGTGCAGATAAAAACAATATTGATAAACATATAAAAGGTCCCGTTTGATCAGTAAGAGATTGGCAAAAAATGGTATCATTTCTTATTCTTTTAAAACAGTACAAACAACGATGTGTGCAGCTGCAGGCTTGTACGCCCAACATACAAGAGAGACGAAATATACCAAAAGGAACATTCAAATCGAAAACAAACTGCTGTAGACCTATATCATATTTGTTTTTCGTTCACTATTTTGTATATAAATCAGGCCGTTAGTTTTCTCGTTTGAATTGTTTTACATTTGTCATTCCGGGGCCTTTTATAGCTGACTATGCGGTATGGGTTTAACTCGTTGTTGAAGGCCGTGCGGTGACCTATAGTTGTTAATTTCTGTATCATTTTGTCTCTTGTGGAGAGTTGTCTCATTGGCAATCATACCACATCTTTTTATTTTAATATTGACAAAGCCATGGCACTCAACGCGAAACGACCAAAAGACAAACAACAGCATACAAAACACAACATAGAAAACCAAAGAATGCGCATCACGAACCACACAAAAAACCAGGGTGACCTCAGGTGCTTCGGAAGGGTAAGCAGATCCTGCTCAACATGTGGCACCCGTCGTGTTGCTCATGTAAGTACAAACCCGGTGATAAGTCTAAATCGGGGAAACCCATATTACGAATAGCCAGGGTCTTTAAAAAAGGGTCTTATGAAAATGCTATTTCGGTGATTTTGGCTATAAAACCAGGTTTATTTAATCCACCATTTTCTGCAAAAGGAAATGCCTGTACCAAGTCAGGAATATGACAGTTGTTTTCCATTCGTTTGATGTGTTTGATCTTTTGATTTTGCCTTTCCGTTTTGAATTTTTTCTTGGAGTTCGGTATTTTTGTTATTTTACTTTTTATGAGTTCTTCCTAGCTGTAGTCTTGTCTTCCGTTTAAACTCATGCTTTTTTAAAAGTCTATTAAAAATTTATTATGAATGTAAATAAACATTGCACATTTACTACATTTCATTTTTATAAACTACATGACATTTTACGTATGATTGCAAATAGAATTTTCCATCAAATTTTATAAATACTTTTTTTTTTGCACCAATACAAGAATTTAAATGTATGTTTTTTAAACAAGCTAATTCAAAAATATAAATTACTTTCGGTAACCATTCATAAATGGAATGACGAAGAGCATTCAACCGTTCATATTGAATTTAAAATACGCATAAAGCATAACACCTATAAGTTAGATCATCGGACGGATATAAAGTTATCTCATCATAAATTCAATTGTTACGGGCTGAAGTCAACAATTACATGTATGGTACAATAGCTGCAAGTTTCAATAATTTAGAGGTAGGATTTTTCATACTATTGAAACACCCTTAGAAAAACGTAAACATTGAACGGGTGTAGCCCATTCACAGAACTCCGAAAATTAAAGCACTCAATAACTGGGAGTTTTGTGTCTAGTTGACACAACACTGACTCTATGACTAAGTAGAATTTTCTTACTTTTCTTTGCAATGAAACTTTCACTGTCATATATTGTGCTGTTAACGTAAGATTTTCATTCATCGCTATACTATCTAAAAAGGTCGTTAGACTTAAAAATTTTAATTTATTATAAAGCTGTTCACATCGTTAATACCGATTTTCACTAGAAAGGTAGACATTTCATACTAGTACATTGTATCTGTTAAGAGCAATCCATCTTAAAAATTGTCTTTTAATTTTCTTATTTAACGACCTTCTCTGGACTCTTGGTGGTTATTTACATTAAATGCTGCATGTCATGAACAAAAGGCACAAGGTTTTCATGATTTTTACATTATATGCTGTATTGTAATTGTCAGAAGGCCTCAAGTTTTCATGATTTTTTTACATTAAATGATGTACATTAACAGAAGGCCTCAAGTTTTCATGATTTTCAAATTAAATGCTGTACTGTCATTAACATAGGGCACCAAGTTTTCATGATTTTCACATTAAATGCTGTACTGTCATTAACAGAAGGCACCAAGTTTATATAATTTTTACATTATATGCTGTACTGTCTTTAACATAGGACACCAAGTTTTAGTTAAAAACAAGGAAGTATAATCTAGTCAAGAAATAACTGACGCGTTTTTGTATCAAATTACGGGAAGATTTTATTAATATTTTTATTTCGAAACATGAACTTTGATTTAAATCTTTGTCTTTTAACCATTGTTACGTGTGTACTTGAATAAAGTAAGGTTATGTATAAAGAAACCTAGATGTGTATTAATTATTGATCATCCAAGTATTCTAAAAGGAAATGTAAAATTGCGATCAATATAAGAATTGAATACAAAGAATTTATACATATAGGAATAAACATTGAATGAAACAGAGAGAGGGATGGCTTGGAATTTTATTAATATCCGTCTTTCAAATGCATGACCGTAAATATATATTAAACCGTAATTCGAAACTTGTTTTGTAAATGAAACATAGTGTCACGACATGCTATAATTTCATTGAACATAGCTACAATTCTATCATTAAAATACAATTCAGCTTAAAAACTGTGAAATTGTATAGGTTAAATTTGCTAATAAAACCTAGTCACGCTCATGACTACATAGAAATAAGTGATAACTATTAAATGATATTAGACTGGATCATCTGCGGGAATCTACATAGTCATTTTCTGTATCACTTTATAAAGGTATGTGCTTTGATTTTTTTCAATAAAATTCAGAAGCCCATTTTTATTACTAAATCAATAATTTGTTGTTAACAATATTTCATGCAAAACAGGATTTGATAGAAATGAATTGGCGGTGTGTGAACAATGGTGAGCGCAGTTGTATTGTTGCCTGATAGCGTACAAAACTGAAATTTCGATTACACTTAGTAGTATATATTTATGGTGTTTTTTTCATTGTCATGGTGTTCTGTCTTTCTTCGATTTTGATTTCTTTCATTGTCCCCCTCCCTTGATATCTTTTTTGTCTGTCCGTCGGTTTCTGATATTTGATTGCCTCCTTGGTATATCCTATTTTAAAATTATATGTCATTGTTAAAAAAAGATATATAATAACCCATGTTTGTCTGTTGATAATTAGTTGGCATTCACTAGGTTCCTGATCACAATTATATTGATTTTGAAATTATAAATTCCCCCACCTAACCAGCAATATATCAACTTCACCTGCATACGGGATGTATGCATTTCCCAACTCATTCGGTATTCATGAGCTTGCAGCTGCTACTCTTATAAAACGTCACCAAATGTCTGAGCAGTAAGTTGATTCACCAGGGTTATGTCAAAGAACGTCCTTTCCTTTTTTCTAAAAAATGTTCATTGGAATATAATAAGACCTTGTTGATGAATATTCCGTATCAACTTTACAAATAATACATGATGGTCTTGAAGTATAGATTTACAGTACTAACATTGTTTATCATCTTAGTAACGTGTTAATGTTTTTATTTGTCTTTGTATATTTTTTTGACGTTTACTGTTTAGTCCATTTTTGGTTATATCCTTTTGGCGTGGCTCGGTATTTATACATCCCGCCATTGTGTTATTGTGCTATGGTCATTTTTTGTATTCTTGTCTTTCATTTTTGCTTTTATGCTTTTGTTTTTCCTTGTTGACAAAGTTGTTTGTTTTATATATATAGTGATTAAGATTATAACACAATGTTGGCTGCTGTACCCCAATTTTTGATATTTTTACCTATTATGTCTGTTTGAGACAAAAGAGGACAGCGCCCAAAATATGAACAGTATTTTCTCTCCGCGTAATTTGGTAGCGATGGATAAAGGAAATTCCCAGACAGGAAAACGTTAATATAATCTAATTTAATGCATTCAAACATATGCTATCGATTTCTGACAATAGTTTGTATTATAATTTATTTGTCAAAATTACGGAATGTTAGCCACATAACATTCTCGTATATTATTGTCGCACAATCTTTTTTTAGGCCAGGCCTCGGTTCACATCAAAATATTTATGAAAAGATCTCAAAATGTGAAAGATTTTTGCAGTTTTGAATTATATTCAATAAAAGTCTGCAAATCAGCAAAATGTTTCATTCATGTCCAGTGTACAAAGAAGTACCGATATTGTCGACATCGCAAAGTAGGCAATGTCGACACAATATTGTACAACGTTGTCGACATCGTTTCATACTCTAATCTACATCGTTGACATTGACGATATCGCGAAGTAGACAATGTCGACACGATATTGTACAACGTTGTCGATATCGTTTCATACTCTTGTCTACATCGTTGACTTTGACGATATCGCGAAGTAGACAATGTCGACACGATGTTGTACAACGTTGTCGATATCGTTTCATACTCTTGTCAACATCGTTGACATTGCCGATATCGCTAACACATTACTCGTGTTTACATTGTTAATTTTGAATACAACGATGTCGACATTGTGCTGTACTACTTTGTTGATATCCTTAAGTCATCTTGTCTCTGCATGGTTGGCATTGCCGACATCGCGAAAAAGACTATGTCAAAACACTGTATTACAACGTAATCTATTATGTCAACATCGCAAAGATGTTGAGGAGGAGGAGGAGGAGGAGGACGAGGAGGATAGAGATTTGCAAACATTAAAAAACTGTCCAAATAAGTTCTACTATTAAGAACATCGACACAGGCGTAATATTAATACATTATTTGAAATTGAAATTGATAAACTAAACACTTCTTTATTTTAAAAAAAACGATGAAGGCGATGTCAACGATGTAGACAGAAAATGGGGACGATGTAGACGATGTCGTCACAATGTTGTTAACATCGCGATATTGGCGATGTCAACGATGTAGACAGCAAGAAAAACGATGTAGACGATGTCGTCACGATGTTGTCAACATCACGATGTCGGCGATGTCAACGATGTAGACAGGAAAGGGGGACGATGTAAAGGATGTCGTCACGATGTTGTCAACATCACGATGTCGGCGATATCAACGATGTAGACAGGAAAGGGGGACGATGTAGACGATGTCGTCACGATGTTGTCAACATCACGATGTCGACAATGTCAACGATGTAGACAGGAAAGGGGACGATGTAGACAGCAAGAAGAACGATGTCGGCGATATCAACGATGTAGACAACAAGTAAGACAACAAGTAAGACAATGTTGCGAGCAGGTATAAATCATGATCGAAGTTGACAATATCGGCGATATCGTCACTACATGTGCACTGGACATACCTCAAATGTTTAGGAATAATTCAAAAATATAAAAAGTGCTATCTTACAGATTAATTAATGTCTATTGAACATCTGAATAATGCTGTTTGGTAGATTAATTGTATTTTTTTACTTTAAAATTTAAGGGCCGAAAGTACCTTCTCCGTTATTCACAACTTAACTAGACCCAAGTCTAATAAGGATAGATAACAAGGAGCTTGACAAATTGTATACAATCATGTGTCATGCTGAAAAGGGGTATTTGCCAAAAATACCGGGTTCGACTTTGTCATTGGTTACGTCATTTCATTTGTCACACAAAAAATCATTATGTCATACAATAGAAATTTGCTACTAGCTTATTTACAGTTAAGTTTAGAAACAGAATTATTGGACAGTGAGTAACAGCTGAATGCCATTACATATACAAAAATTTTACAATCAAGCAGAAACTCCATAGGATACCTGATTACAATACAAATTCTGACGTCAAGATGGATACAAATAGCATTCGGTGGAATTAAAACAATTATATCATGCTTACAAGGGGTATATGCCAAAAATACCGGTTTCGAGGTAAACAACGGCTCTGAAAATTTGTTAACCTCTCAACCGGTATTTTTGGCAAATAACAGTGACTTCAGGATGAAGAACAACAATAAAAGTTGTATTCCTTTGGTATGTGTTACTAGATATCCTGTATATCAGTAGATTGCGTTATAACATATCGTATTGTCTCTTGTACATTTATTCCATAACATTTTGTTTTTTCATACATGTATAAGTCAATCATAATTTTCTTTCCATGTTTTTTGAGTAAATTCATGATGAAAAAAGACAAAAAGTCTAGAGGTCTTCGGAAGTCGAGTTAGTTTTAGACAAGATATTTCCCATCTGCCGTGGTATTTACTAGCAAATACCCCGGCACATGGAATTCCCTAATGACAAATACACCGGCAGAGAAAAGAAAATCTCAATATATAGAAAATTGGTGAAAAATACCATTTCTCGCATCCAATCAAAATACAGCATTATTACATTAGATGGAATTATAAATATAATACCATGATTAAGACCGTGTATTTGTCCGGCTATCTTGACCATGCATGTATTTTTGTTATCCTTTTATGTATTAAGGACTTTTAAAATATCTACACAAAAGGGGGTCCAGGTTAAGCCACTGTTTAATACTGTTTTACATTTGGCCGTATTTATCTCGTCTGAAATACCGATATAATTCAATAAAGGAAATTGACTTTAAAAAACTCTATCATTCGTAATGGTACGATTTGGTTTGACATTATCGAACTTGTTTATCATGTGAATGATATATTACGTTCCTGATGAAGGTAAAACCAGAAAAGCGCTTCGAACGCATGAAATTTATAACGTGTTGTTTTCAATGTTTACAGCACTGGGTCGATACCTCTGCTAGTGGACTATCTGTCCCCGAGGGTATCATCAGCCAAGAAGTCAGTACTTCGGTACTGACATGATTTATAACAAACCTTGCTTAAATTGTCCGTTAATAAACTTTGAAATTATTAGAAACTAAGGTTTCAACTCCCCCAGGCAAAGTTGACCTTAGATGGATTTGACTATTTTTTTATGTCCTTTTTGGTAAAATAGCTCTTCAACTGTTTCGGTTCTTATATATCCTTGGCTTTCAAATATTCGGCTTTGAGCGTTCCTGATGAAGGTAAATCCAGGAAAGTGCTTCGGACGCACGAAATTTATAACGTGTTCTTCAAATTTTTTTTAATATGCTTTTCTATTACAGGTAAATTCATCACCATGTCAAATCAGCGCGCTGATCATCACCATGACTCACGACAAATGGTTCCACAATCGGCTCGAAGTAAATCATCGTCAAATAGTTCAACACATAAAGGTTTCACCTTTGACCCAATGAAAAACATGCATTTGTGGACAATGTGGAGAATAGGAAACACAGAAAAAATTGTGAATTTCACAAAACACAGAGAATCTGAAGTTTATTTACAAAACGAATTTCAACACGGAATCTTTTCTGGAGTACCGTATGGAAGTCCTACTTTACTTGTACCACCTCTTGCCAGCAATATATCCGTTACCGAAGCAACAAAACGGAAAGCAACTGAGATGATGCATTCAAATACAAATGAAGGAGGGAGTGAATTGAAAGCAGGACAATTTATTTATTTTGGACTACCACGAGTTGCTCTGAAAAATGGTAAATCTCAAATGTCACCGTAATTCGATTTTGAACGAAACAGATTAATATGTTACCTTCAAATTGTTATTTTAAATGATGCAAATTGTTACTTAAAATGACGCATATTGTTACTTTTTAATGATGAAAATTGTAATTACTATATTTTGTGTTACTCACAGATTAAACTGTAATTATTATCATTTGTTGCATGAAATCGTCATTCTTAATCCTTATACATAATACATGGTATATTAACTTCTTTCTACATAGATATAAAAATGTATTAGAAATATATAATAACTTATATCATATCTTTTATCTTGGTAAAAATGCTGAAATGGATAAGTGTTTTTGTTTCATTTCTTTTGATCTCATTTCATCGAGTTTGTAATAAAGACATTGCTCATACGACACTCATTTTTAGGCCAGAAGGCAATTAAAAACAAAAAATTAAAAACAAAAAATATAGTTTCCATGTTATACGATTTGTGTTGTATTATTAGCTTAAACATTTGCCACATGTTCACTTTACAAAATCGAATTAAATTGGAAACCATGTTGAAGCGCGTGTCATTATCGATTCAAAGTAAACAGCACGGGTAAATCTGCTGTTAGTTATTGTAGTTAAATCAATTCCGTTGGTTCATTATTATCACTATTCTGTAATGTTTATTGGTTACTGCATTAATTTAATGTTGTTGTCAATAAAGAATTAGATGCATAAGTTGTAAATTTAAGAGATGAAAAATCAAGTGACTTGGACCACTTTTGATAAACCTTTCAAGGAGCAGACATATACCTCATCATATACCTTTTACTTCATGATTTTTACATCGCGATGACCTTGAGGTCATCCCGATGTATTGCTATCGCCTAGATTTCCATTATGTAAATTAGTTTTGGGTTTGTAACCGATCTATAAACATGAAAAATACGCGCACATAAACGAGTGCAAAATAACATTCCTTATCGTTTGATATAAATACATCTCTTCAATGAATACTGATAAAAATATTTTTGTTTACAACATAAATTAATAATATGAAAATGTTTTGTAGTTAGATATATATATATATAAGTAAAAAATCATTGATAATATCAATGCACACGTACCGAAAAATTGTGTTTAAGCATGCGGAAGAATATCTCAAAGAACGTTTTGTGAAAATACCGTCAAGGACCGGTAACTCTGTAATTGATTTTGCGGGAAAATATGAATGCCTACTCGTATCCAATCTTAGAAAAATCGAATTTTTACAGAAAAGTGTCCACCATGCACTTGCATTGCACTATTTTTAGAATAGTAGAATAGAATGATATACAAATGGACTCAAATCATATATATATGTAACTGTTATTTTAATATAATATAAACAACAACTCAGTGTATACTGATTTGTATCACTACAATATAATAGTTATTACGGTGAAGTTGAATTTCCTGTCATTTATTCATCATCCACGCACGAACTTGTCTCAGAAAAAAATATATCTCTGTACATTAACCTCAGTTTTAGGTAAAGAGATAGTTGTTTTATTTCTGAGACAAGTGCTTTTGACCATCCTCAAGAACTTGTGGTCATCCGATGTTCAGTACTTCAGTACTTTGATTTAATGACAGCACTATTTTGATAGACATTTTAATCCTCGGTCATCCTAGATTAATAATATTTGATTCGTGAGATGTTTTGTACTTTTGTGTATGCAAAATTCATTCATGTAACATTATAGATATTGAGAAACATGTTTCGTCTAATAAACGACTTCAATTTTTGTTCCCAGCCATACATGTTTTTCATGTAATGTGAAAGCAACACTATGTGATTAACTCAAGCAGAGAGTTTTGATTTGAGACTATCCAAAACTGCTCGAAAGCCTTAAAATACCGTATTTATATACTTATTATATTTTGTTTTGAAGAATGTTTTAATATTTTGGAAAAAAAAGATTTTCGACGACTTTTTCTTAAATTCATAATATGTAACCATAAACTTCCAGTTGAACTTGGACGAAGATTTAATATTGAAAAAAGTAAAATAACAAAAATAGAACGGGAAAAGAAAGCGTAATTTATGTAATCTAGACATTGGGGAAGAATTTCATTACATTAAATACTGTTCACATTTAACAAAAGAAAGAATTACATATATGAAATAAAGTTTCATTAGAAGGTCAAATATTATAGTCTTTAATGAAATTACGTCTTCAATAAACAGTACAGATCTCATAAATGTATGCACGTAAATATATAAAAAAAGCGACTGTGCCCTCCTGAATAAATTGAAATTTGTGTTGTTGTTGTAAATATATTGTATTTATATTTATGTATAAAGACTTATTTTATTAAATTAAGTTGTATATTTATATCTTATTATACTGTAGCTGTTAAAGCTTTACATCATGTATTCTGGTGATATTATAAGGAAACACTTATTTCAAACATGTTAAAATAAAAAATTAAAATTAAAAAAAACATGACTAAATAAATAATACATGTTCTTTCTATATATTTGGCCTTTTTGCACAAAGAAAAATTGAGTAACACGACCAAAGAAAATGAAAATTGAGCAACACTTTAACTAAGGTGCTAAAGATGGTTTTAAGCAGCTACTGATCCATTGGTGGAATCCGTCTTGATATTCATAAGTCTCATTCGGTAATGTTATAAACGAGTCATGGGTGCGATATTATTGCTATACAAATGAATCCGTGGTCAGCTGTGATATTATTATTCAATAACGGCCAACCGACATTGCGCCCGTATAACTTTCGAAGAGATAACTTCAACTTTAAAATAAAAAAAGTATTGGTTTATTAGCCTCCGTACATATAAGCAGTAACCGACCTTTATGTCAAACAAAATCATGAAATGAAACATAAGGAGTGGAATATCGTATCTATAAACTCATCATAGGTACAAGGAATTGAGAGACAGTTGCTGAAAGTTTACTGTTAAAAATTGAAGTAATCTCTGACATTTTATTTAGGTAAACCAGAGCCAATCTTAAACGAAAATTTGGAGTGCGAACTTAAGGTATACCATATTTCATGAGATATCAGATGAAATCATTATTTTGAGTAAAAATAGTTATTTACATGTTAACCATTAATTTTTTTTGGCAATTTTTAGGGGAATGTTTACAATCAAAGTGTCCTTTGCGGGAACGTTTAACAAACAAAAACAAAAAACAAAGTCTTTATACGAATAAAGGGAGATGTGGTGTATGCGACAATGAGACAGCAATCCAACACAAAGAACCAAAAGACTAACAGAGGTCAACATACAGTCATCAATACTAGACCCGTGTCTTCATGGCAAGCTGTATATCGGCCCAACTGTAAAAAGTTAACATTAGATTATACAGGAACTATTGAAATATCAAAAATCTTACCATTAAGGATGACTAGGCTATAGAAATATGGTCATCTTGGTCTTCATTACGACATTAATACCATTGCTAAAGTTTGGTGTCCTTTTGGATGTGCGGGATGTATAATTTCGTAGCCATTTTGGGTCAGAATAGGGACGTTAAATCCAATTCCTTGTGTTGAGGGAATGCCAAACTCTTTGTTCCCTAAATAACTCTTGCAAAAACTCTCCGAGGGGTTCGTAGGTGGCATTGTTGTCCCTATCCAACATATCATTATATCAGTAACAGCCCAAATTTCCAGCCCTGCATCCCTGTTGTCATATCTTGCAGAACCAATCTATTGTAATAATCATTAATAGTTTATCGTAATGAATATACATGAAATAGTTGCCGCTGGACGTTAAGCAAACAATAATGAACCAATCAATCACAAATCTGCCATCAACACTATATTCTCCTTATAATCATATTAAAGTATGAAATGACAAGCATTAAATATTCTTCAGTATAGAATGATTAAAGAGATAAGAAATTTATCAATTGCTGCAGTTTGTAGATCCACAAGTGGATTGTCTCTTTATAACGAAATTTTCGATTGTGTATGCCACTTCAAAACGGAAAGTCCCTTAACAAAATAAGAACATGTTTTCTTGAATTTAAGGCTATTTTTAGGCGTTGCCAATTTTCCATGGGTATTGTTTACTGATAATGAGAATGGTAAATACATACATGTTGTCTCTTTGACACATTCCCCATTTCCATACTCAATTTTATGTAGATATAAGAAGATGTGGTATGAGTGCCCATGAGACAACTCTCCATCCAAGTCAAAATTTATAAAATTAAACCATTATAGGTCAAAGTACGGTCTTCAACACGGAGCCTGTGTATTTATTTTTCAAAAGAAAAAGAATTTCATTTATATAAAGTTGATGTTTTCCATAGCTGTAACTGGGCGTAACTATATATTTCTTTCTCATATTTATAAAACATTCATGTCTTGGTTAGTTTTGAAATATTTCAAACTCTACAGTCTATAGTTTAATTTTAGTATCTAACATACAGAAATTTTCAGTTTGATTTATATATTTATACAATTCTGTTAGTAGATTTTAATTTGTGTTAAGTAAAATTAATACCTCTTTTTATAATTTAATATTTAAATTTATCAAATTCTATATAAACAAATAAAGAAAGAAATCGAAGCAAATACAATTCAAGTAAATTTTAAAATGAAATATGAAATACACATATTTATAAACGTAGGGTGAATTTCATTATTCTTTCTGTAATTTTAATATATGTATGGTTAGCAGTGTGTATACAAAGTTTAACAGAAACTGGTTTCTGTACCTTGTACCTATTTAGTTTAATATAGCCTACTACGACATGTCAAGACATATATGCTCCAGAAAGCCACCAAAACTGATGCATAAACGGATGATACACCAAACATGTTTAACCCCGCCACATTCTGTATGTGCCTGTCCCAAGTCAGGAGCCTGTAATTCAGTGGTTGTCGTTTGTTGCTGTGTAACATATTTGTTTTTCGTTCATTTTTTTTGTACATAAATTAGGTCGTTAGTTATCACGTTAGAATTGTTTTACATTTGTCATTTCGGGGCCTTTTATAGCTGATTATGCGGTATGGGGTTTGCTCATTGTTGAAGGCCGTACAGTGACCTATAGTTGTTAATTTCTGTGTTATTTGGTCTCTTGTGGAGAGTTGTCTCATTAGCAATCATACCACATCTTCTTTTTTATATCCATACTTGTAAGCCAATGCCAGAGTATTCAGTCAGGAGTAGAACATCAAACCACCCTGATTGGAGCCTTTAAGATTTTCTAATTTACTGGTAAGCCAAAGAAAACATTCCACGTACTACCTATTTTGGATTACTTCTTGATCTTGCAAAGTCCCTTGGTTTGATTATCTTTACTCACTGCAGAAAGATGAACGTTTTAATTATACCAGCCAGCGTATCATGCAGGAGATGTTGCAGAGATTCAATCAACAGATAGTCACAGTCAATGCAGCAG